GACGTTTCTGTAGGCAGGTCTAGTTCAGCGTTTCTGTTGCTACAGTGGTTTCCGTGGTAGGAAGCCCTCCACCGGGTGCTTTTCTCTTCTTCCCTTGTTGAGCCTGATTTCAGCTGCCTGGTACTGCAAAATCTGTGGTGCTAGGATGACCTGTAGACCTGTGTGAGAATCTGGGGCGTGTTCCCAGGAATGGAATCCTGGTTATGCAGAGTCATTGCCAGGAGGAAGAATGGAATGAAGCAATTTACAGTCTCAACAGGAGCTGAGGTCGTCATCTTCTAATATTCTTATTAACACTTGGTATTTTCTGTTTGCCTAATTGGTGGGGGTAAAGTGGTGTCAGTTTGCCTATTTCTGATTGCTAGTGAGGTGGGGATCTCTCTCTTTATACTTGTTAGCCATTTGGGCTGCTCCTTCTGTTGAATATTCTATTTTTCTTTTGTATTCCATGTCTTTTTCTTGTGGATTTGGAAAAACCTACCTGTATATTCCTGGTATTAATCCCATGACATTTCAGACATTGCAAATATTGTAAAAAATGTCTCCCTAATGTATCTGAGTTTGGTTGCTAATATTTGTCTTCAGACTTTTGCTGTCTTCCTTTAATTGCAGGTGAGAGTGAAAGTTGGATAAGAGAGGCTCTTATTGCTTTCCTGTGGAAAATTCCACAAGGACCTTCAATTTAGTAACTGAGCCTCATGTCTATGTGCAGTCTTAAATAAATGTATCTTCCAGATGTCAGCTAGAGCCCTATCTTCAGAGCTGGGTGAAATTGCATCGAAAAATTCTTCTTTCAAGTTTTTGAAAGCAAATAAAGGAGGCCCCCCTGGATTCTGGGATAATGTATCAAGATCCCCTTTGCTCTGGAGTTCTGTGGTTCCGTATCAGGATGCTAGCTGGAGATCGACACATTATGAACTGACTATACTTCAATAAAAATGTATACATATACCAAAAAAAAGATGATAGCTGAATATCTCCTTTAATTTATTTCTGTAAGAAATTCACGTGCACCATACATTTGCCAATTTCAAGTTGATTATCTACAGCTGAGGGAGTTGTAGCACGATGTCCCTTCTTGAAACCTAAGTGTTTCTTTTTATCTTCTTTGTAGCCCCTCAACCTCCATTGCTGTAATTTCTCCTTCCATTAAGTAGGGCACTTTGGCTCTCCCCAAACTTAATGACTCAGACCCCAAAATGCTTAGTAAAACAATGTGTCCTCTTGTTAGACCGATACCACTAGAAGTCAGCTGGGTTATAAATAGGTCGTGCAGAGAGAAATGACTCTTCGATACTGCAACGCCAATGAGTGGTTTTGCCATAGACACAACCTAATGAGAGGTGCATGTGCTCTGCGTTAGGGTAGGGGAGTCTCTTTGGAAGAGAAGTGGTAAACATTTCCAGAGCAGAGTTGCCTTTGCTCATTCTTCAGGCGCTAAGTTTTTCTTCTGGTCTTACTGGTGCAGGTTGTGGAAAGGTACATGGATCTTGGGACCCTGTGTGCTCTGACACTTGTCAGCTATGTGATGTTGGATACGTTGCTTATTCACACTGAGCCTCCATGCTCCCATTGTCAAATAAGGATGCTCACACCTACTCTACGAGTTTAGGGGATGGATTAAAGGTAATGTAGAGGGTCCAGTACTATTCCTGACCTTGAGTTGGTGTTCATTACATGGTGGGCTCTTACTACACACTCCTCCAGTGAGGAACTCTGGAAGGGAGCACCAACACCCAGCCCAATCTCTGGGGTGGCTGCTGGGACTCTTGAGTGGAAACTAAATCCTGAGTGGTATTTTTGTCTAAGTGCTGGAGAAAGTGAAGGTAAATTTCCTGAAATGTTCAACTGAATTCTCACAAAGCAGCTTATTTACCAATGAATGTTCCTTGCCAGTTTTGGGGTTCTCTATCTTTTGAAATAATTTATTGTTACAAATACTCTATTTGGCTTTGACTTCAGGTAATGGAAAGAAACCCTAAAAGCTTTCTTCAAGGCTAAAAATGCTCATGCAAAACACTATAAAAGCCTTAGAATTCAAATAAATGTGCATATCTACAACAAATACGACTGTAGCATCTTTCTGGGATTCAGGGTAAAAAGTAAGAAGTGTCTTTCATGTCTCTGTATCTGTTGGGATTTGTGGCCACAGGAATTTTCAAATTTGCTAACTTGAAGATGGTTTACTATGCATCTGCCTCCCTCATTGCAATTAGTGCAAAAAAAAGTCTGAAGAAAATAAAGATGATGTTTTCATTCTTCCCTAAAAAAGAAGAGTGTTCATTACAACACCATCTGACTTGACATTTCATAGTATTGATTCCAAAAATGTTTGCACCAAAGTGAAGTTTTGTATGGAAAAAAAAAATTTCTATTGGCTTCTACAAAATTTCCAGCCAGCTGTTTATATGGAAAAAAAAACTTGCCCTCGACATGAGTCACCTGTAAGAAAAACTAATATCATATAATTAAATGAATAGTCTTATTTAGTTGTTTTCAGCTACTGTACAAAAATGTATCCAAGTGGACAATTTGTATGACCAGTTTATACTAAATGAAAAATTCCTACACATACGAATTCATGATACAGTGAAATATAGGTTTGGTTGTTGAGCTCTGTGATTCTCTGGAATGTGAGAACTGGTGCCCCCTTTTCCAGACCATCAGTAGACCTTGTTGGTTGGAGGAACCCCTGTATCAGATCATTGCAGGTCCTCTAAGCTCCATTTATCTGCCCAGGGTCTTTGGTTGTGCCTCATTGCCACCTGGGCTGTCACCAACCTGTGGGAGTGGAGATCAACTTTCCCTACTTGGGGAGTTGCTTTTGCTCTGAAGCATGAGACACCACAGGAGCTGCCTGTGGCCAGGCATGTACAATCTAGCAGAGGGGAGTCAACCCCATTTTGATAGTGGGAGGTGAGAGCTGGTAGGTAAATTCATATTTCCCCACTCCCACGTGAGCCATCCTGAGATGCAGTGGTTCATGTGGCCCCGGGAAGATGGCCTTGCAGGATCAGGCAGTCATTTGTGCTCAGTGTGGCCAGCTCAACCATGCACCCTGATCTTTACTCTCCTTCCCTGCCTCGTTCTCTCTTGCCTCCATTCCTGTTTCCTTTGAAGCTGTTATCTCCAGTAAAACTATAGTGTATAAACTCTGCTTTCTGGGGAACCCAGGCTAAGACAGCTCTCTTCTCATTTTAATGTAACATTCAGGCAATACCATTTTACTGATACAGACTTCATTTATGATTTCCCAGTATATGGTGTAAATGGATTCTGTCTTTTAAGAGTATAGCATGGAGCATTTTCATCCAATAGCTCATGGATCCTTAGAGATACACACCCAAAGTGTATCTGTAGCACTCTGCACTTCAGTAGTTAGTACTGCTAAGCTCTGCTTTGAGTTGAACATTTAATGTGTCAGAACTTGTATGCATGAACCTAATGATAACTCCACTTATTTACAAAGCCCTGAGTAGCTAAATATGAAACCAGGATGAAATATGAAACCAGTGTGAGCCAACTTTGGCCTCAGGCTTCTTTTCCTTCTGGGTTATTAGAATTGTCCAGGTTTGTGACATGACACCAAGTCTGTAACCCAAATCAAGCCATTAGTTTGGGGTCTTCTTTGCCTGTGTCATGGGGTTAAGAACCAGACCTAGCTGGAATGTATGTGTTAGAAACTCTCCAAAAGAAAACGAATAAAGTAATTTGTTGGGGGAGGAAATGTGTTCATCAGGGTGGAGTTGAGAGGTACATAATGTAGAGAAGAGACAAATATAAAATTTATACAGTCCTTTGAACAGAGAGTGGGAAGACTTAGAAAATAGTAGTCTGAACGGATCTAGCTCAGGGAAATAATAAATGCTTGCTCCGTCCTAACCTCCGTCTTGGCCTCTTTCATGAGCGGGGTAGGATATAAGCAAACACTTCCTTTGGAGCGTTTATTTGGCTCACGTCCTGGCCAGTTGTGCTGAACTTCCTCTCTGTTCAGGAGACTCTGTTGCCACATGGAAAATGGATGTGCTTTCAGACTTAACTAGTGGTGTGGACATTTGTTCCTTTGCTTGCTTGCTGTTCCTCCCACTTCTTACTGTAGCAAGACTTAGAATTTTCTTTGAGGACCCATTCCTGACTCAACTCTCAGTCCAGTTTAGGTGGGATTGGCCATCCCTCCCTTCCCCCACCCAGTTCCAGGATTTCAGAAGATGAAGCTAATTAGCATATCTGTCCTCCTCGGCGCAATGATTGGCTCAGGAGTGGGCACTTGACTCCATCTGGGCCAGTGAGGAGTAGGCTCAGGATTTTTACGGGAACCGTTGGGGAAAGGAAAGTCTCTTTCCACAGGTTTGGAGCTGTCAAGCTAATCTTGGAGCTACTGGGGGTTGCCATAAGATGAAAGCTTATGTGAGCACTACATGCAGAAATTTGTACAGAGGCAAATCTGTATATATAGAGAAAAGGGGCGTGTCCTGATGTGCTGAGTAACTGCCCAGATCCAGCCATGCATGACGCCATCTCACCCCTGGACTTTCCAGATATTAGGGACAATAAATTCCCATCAGACTTAAGCCACTTCAACTTCCAGCTTTCTGCTCCCTCATCACAGAAAGAGTCCTAACTCACATGTGTTCAGGGAATTGAGGATTGAGACATACACTGATAGCTGGTGTTAGTGTAATTCCATGTATACTATTCTGTAACATTTTGAGATAAAAAGATGAATGTAGTCCCTTTGGCTGCAGAAACTTCACTCTTCCCTCCTCACCCCATTTATGTGGCCCCTTCCAAAGAGATAATCTCCCATTAGCCTTTTACTTCTCGCCCTCCCCCCATACCCTCTTCCTAGGAAAATTTGCTTATTCTAGTAGATGTTAATGAAACAAATGCCTTTACATTCCTGTTTTTCTTCCTTTGGAAGCAGCACGATGAGAGGAGCCAGCAACACTGTGCCTATTTTAGAAAATAATAATTTTTAAAGAAAGAGACAGGAAAATATGTCCATTATGAGCTTTTTCTTTTTTCTTTTTTAGAATTGTAGCTTATGAGTTTATCTACGCCCGCGATAGTCATAATTACAATTTAATATCTGCATACAAAAGCTATGTAAAAATCCATTTTTTCCCAAATATACAAATTTTCTTTTCGGATAGTTTAAAACATTTTGATCACAGATTTCAATAGAGTTTTAGGCTGAAAAAAATATTTCCAATCTAGCAATATCACTTAACACTGTTTGCAAAACACAAATCTTCCGATGACGATAAATCTTTCCCTGTTCTGTTGTATTTTTCTGTTTCTCAGGGCATGAAAACACAACGGGGAAAAGGGTGTTTTCTCTGAAGAAAGCCTTGATAACTAATTTAGCTTTGTAATCAAATGAAAAATGCCAATTAGAAAGAACTGAAAGAAAGAAGTGGCATACTGTCAGCTCATCCATGCCCTGATGTCTTCTGTGACAGCAATACACCTGTAATTAAAGTGTCTTCTTTCGTCTTACATTGTGCTCCGTAATTTACATGCGTATTATCCGCATCCTGAGGACAGATTTATATCTGATTGTCTTGTGCATAAGGTGGGTCAGCTTTAACTGTGCAACAGAAAGCCACAGACAGCATTTTACCTGCACGATATTGCTCTGGAAGGCGGCGTTAATTAAGGTAGAAACACACTAGAAATGCACACTTTTTGCATTTGCAAACATTTGTACAGCACAGTAAAAATTCTGTGATAAGGCCAAACCTTTTTTTCCCACTAGTCTCTCTTTTTTTGTGTGTGTATGTGTGTTTTTAATGTATTTTTTTTTAAAGATTAAAGTAAAATGTTTCCATTGTAAAAAATACACACCGGGCAAATCCTTACCTGGATAATAAATATCTACATCACAGTACAATAAAATTTCTTCTCTATAAAATTTAAATATGGATTATAGTCTATCACTATCAAAAGAAACACGATGCTAATATTTCCATATTATTAAAATAACAGGAAAAATTACAAGCTTATTTTAGAACCTGATGCCATAGCCACTGGAAAGAGGCAAAGAAATTCAAATGTCTGTGAGCACTGTCCTTTTGAAGAGGAACTGTGACTTGGTTATGCACTGCCATTCAGTTTATGAAAAAGGTTTAGCCTTACAAATGCTGGCTACGTTTCAAAAACCGTTAAGACCAATGTCATATCTTATGACTCATGCAGCAAAAGGTCAACGTGACACAAAGGGGTTAGAGTTTCGCAGAATAAAAATGGGCCATGGACAGTGACATGCTTTGAGGGCGTCAGCAGTTCATGGAGGCTGAGTCTGCAGGGGACTTAGTGTCGAAGAGGGAGGGACCAGGCCTGCCCACCTGTTCACGGAAGGGCAGCGAGCAGGTGATGCCGGAGCAGAGCCGGGCTGGCAGTCCACCCGGATGACCGCGCTGCAGGGGGGAGGAGGGGCCACTAGGGCACAGGTGAGGGGCATCACTGGGCTGAGGCATCAACACGGCAAGTGTGTCATTGAAGACCGAGGCTCCTTTGACTAGGAGAAACTCGGAGGCGGCACGTGGTGTTTTGAGCAGAATCATAAAGACGAAAAGATCTTACTTTTTTCACTATTTCTAGAAACACTGCACATCTAATTGAAGAGCAAAGTACACTTGAGCGCCACACACACACACACACACATACACACACACACAAACACACACATACACCACTCATCCCCAAAAGGTAAGTGATTTATAAATAGGAATCCCAGTTGTACGGCATGTTCTCTTCTGCTGGGATGTCTCCCCACGGTGAGGGGTTTCAGTCAGTCCACATTTGATTTGAAAGTCTGGACAACATAGGAAAACATGTTAAAAAAAAATCCAGAGCAAATCTCTCCTGATCACGTCTAATGGGATGGAGGCTTGAGATGCACTGAGTGCCTCAGTCAGTTCCGGAAGGAATGAGTCACTTTGACCACTGGGGCTGTGACCCTTTCAGTCCTTACAGCCTTTCCTTTCAGCCTGAAGTACTTTTAAGGCTTGTCCTCTTCAGCACGAGATAGCCAGCCTTCAACAAGATTTTGAGATCCACAGTTTGCCTGTTTCAGGCACTCATGTAAGGAGGCGAGGACCCATACACGCATTCGGGGCTGGCTGGGTCATCAGAGGTCTGCCGTGCCATCTGGCCAGTGGCCAATCATGGTTCATCCCTCAGGCTTCCTGATGCAGCTTTAGACCAGACTCTGTACTCACACTGAATCTGGGGGTGTCCGATTCCGGGGAAATCTCTGTCAAACAAACTGAGCAGCCTCTCCTGGGGAGACTTGCTGCCCGAGGGGTCTCTGAACCTCCAGTGCCTGCCTGCTGGCCTTCCTCTCCTTCTGAGGGAAAACGTGCCCCACAGCGGACAGCTTCTCAGAGTTACCCCGGGGCAGAGATGGTGCTGAAGCACTTGTGTTTCAGAGAGTACTTCTCCAAGGAGAGTCAACAGAGGGAGCTGAGATGTTACCAAAGTGAGGACCTTAAAGAGGCTGCTAGAGAAAACCAACCCCCAAAGTGTCTGTAGATAAGTCAGAGCAGGTTATCTGCCCGTGAACTTCATGCGCACAATTTTAACCTCTTCACCTACTTCCTGTCTCTGGTTAGCAAGTTCCATAGCGCCGTTCTTGTGTTTTTTCCCCAGAAGCCAGTATAATTGCTTTAGCATATTAAATAGATACATTTCCTCCCAGGTTATCTCCGGTCACACTTGGCATTTTTTAATGCTGTTCCTCTCCTTTTTCCAAGGCCGCCCTGCCTTTCTCTAAATAACTGATGAGTACTATGTCAACTCCTGATTTTGAATCAATACAGAAATTCACTTTCCTTAACTGTAAAGAGGGCGTAATCTCTGTCTAATGTAAAGTCACAAATCTGAATATGAAAGCGACCATCAAAAGGACCTGATTCCACTACCCTCCTTCTGAAATTGGTACAATATTAAGGATGGGAAATTTGGAGTTCATGACTTATATTTCAGGTGAAAAAAAACCAAGACTCAAGATCATAAATCTACCCATTGGCAGCACAAACTAGAACTCAGGCATCCTGACTTCTGGGCCAGTTAGAAAAACAGAATTAATCCATGTGGTTTTTAGGCAAGTTTCACTGATATGGCTTATTTTCCCACATAACTTCCAGGATAAGGCAGTACAAGGCAGGCAGAGGAGCAGTTTATGTCCCCCATGGCAGTGAAGAATGAGATACATTCGATTGCATGGGTTTATTCTTTGCCCATTTTCTGACACTGAAGCGATCAGGGGCACCATCTGCTTTCTGGACACACACCTCTCCAGCGTTTGTCACTGGAGGGGTGGGCTGGGCAGGGAAAGGAAGGTGAGGGAGGGAGGGTTCATGTGCATGGTCTGCAGGTGTTTTCTGTTGAAGATCTGTCAGGGCAGTGCTGTCAGAGGGACGGAGTGGGTCAGTGGCTGGACCAGTCTTTGTTTAGTGATAGTCAACCCTCAGAGTCAGAGGGAAAAGGGGCCGAGGAAACACCTGTGAGTACAACAAAGAGCCTGGGGGTCTACGACCAGAAGGAAGCCACCTCAGACCATCAGGACGCGAGGAGGCTCTTGCTCTTCAAGCAGTGTTCTTCTGTGCTTCCTTCGCTGTACAACATAACCACACTCCTCTCTCCTCAGAGTTCCTCCAGAACAAGACTCAGATTTCAGCTGGTTATCTCTCCTGGATTGGATTTGATCCTTAGGGAAATCTGTCGTCAGCTCAGCAAAGATGCAATCAGGTTGAAGAACTTCAAGAGTTCGGGACGTAACGAATCTGGTGTCACCGAACAGTGAGGACATGCTGTAAACAGGCTTGATTTTTGTGGGAGTTTTCTCTGAGCCTAACCTGTAAGAAGCCTTCTTGCAGTGTGAGGTAATACTATGTGAATTTTTGGAAACTGTTGAATCACTGACATTAGTGAAGATGTTGAATTTCGTTGGGCTCACTGGAGGAAACTGTTTTCTTTGCTGGCTTCAGTCAGTCAGTCATTGCACATCTTTGAGTCACGCCCTTGTTATGATTTGAATTAAGTCATAGGATTATAAAAATTATAGTGAAAGGATAGCTGATTTGGGGGAAACATATATTCCTATACATTCTAGGTTAGGCTGCTAGGAGAGAAAACAGCATGCTTTTGGACAGATAAAGATATGTTCCGATCTTTCCCTAGGAAGCCGAAAGCCACATTTAACCAAAGGCTGTCTGCGCTGTGCTAACTTGAGCCTTGCAAAAGTCAGTATTGGATCAAGATGACTACACTGTCTTGGTTTTAAGTCTTTAGTCTTCTGCCGTGCCATTTTGCTTGCTCGAGTCTCTGACCAGGGACAGATGGGAGCTGGTGATGGCTTGGTGCTGGTGAATTAATGATTGTCCCCACCTGACCTCCACGACTGTAAAACCTTCAAAGCATCCATGTCAAAGGACTGGAGAACAAAATGCAATAGTTACAAGTACCCGCATTCAAGGGGCAGTTTCATCCATGTCTACGCCAAGGACTACCTCCCTTTACCCCTAAACGATCCCTCCCAACACAAAGAAATAAAGGAACAAACAAAAAAAGGGCTAGGCAATGGAATGACATGACACCCAGTAGTGCTGTTGGAATTAATGAGAATGAGTCGGTCAGTCTAATCCTCAAACACTTCCAAGAACAATGGGGGGAAGAGTTCCGTGGGGCATTCCACCTTCATGTGCAGGAAGCGGCTGGCGTGGCAGGCTCCGATCATCCGCAGATCTGTCACCTTCATCAGGAGTTTTGGCCAAAAGTGAGTCACGTGGTGTTTTCGGTAATTGATATAGTGTTCAAAGGCCAGCAGGAAACTGTCTTGGTATTTTTCTATTCTCTCAACGCAGGCAAGCCCTGGGCGATCTGAGGGGAAGAAAGAAGATGGATGTCAATTCACAGCTGGAAAGGAGATGGTTTGCCTTGTCCAGTTCAAGCCATTTGATCTGGGGACTTCCAACTCCTAGGAATGCGCGTGGATGCAGTACGAACTCTGGGCCATCAGGGACCCAGATATCAGGGAGTGGTGTAATTTACATGAGGGAGGCAATGCTTTGTTTAGATAAATGTCTCTGGTTTAGACCAATCACCTCCTTGGGTGTGAAGAGCGATGCCTCCCTCCTGCGGGCTAGTAGGAGAAGCCTCACCTAGAGAGCTGGGATTCTCTGCGTCATGAGGAAGGATTTTGACACGTACGCACGTGCATTGAAGGGAGGGATGTGAAAAGAGATTGGGAAGGTCCTAGGAGGCCTGGATGCCAAAGGAGGGATGTCAGATGGGAAGAAGCCCCGGTGAAGACAAGGCAGCACAGTCTCCAGTTTGAGTCATTCACGGGGCTGTAGCGAACCACTCCTTCCCTTCCCTTATGCCTTTGGTTGCTACTGTAGCAGCCTGGTGGTGGTGGTGTCTGAGGAAGTTCAAATGAAAAGAAAAGGGAATGTGAGCCAAGCTAGCATCACCCTGTGCAGGGAAGAGTCACAGTGGGAAGCTGGAGTTAGAGGATACCATGACGAGGTACAGCCTAGAAGATCTTCCCAGGTCTTGGGAGGACCACTGATCGTCCCACAACACGTAGGAGAGGACTCGAGGCGGTTTCAAACAAATGATGAAAGGATATCATTAGAGGGCTGGATGGTTGGGGAACACCTAGGCTGCAAACGCATGGGTTGAAAAAGTGGGTACAGAGGGAAAGTACCTCAACATAATAAAGGCCGTGTATGATAAGCCCACAGCTAACATCATATTAAATGGTGAAAAGCTGAAAGCTTTTTTTCTAAGATCAAGGAACAAAGACAAGGATGCCCACTCTTGCCACTTTTGTTCAACATAGCATTGCAAGTGCTACCCAGAACATTTAGGCAAGAAAAGGAAATAAAAGGCATCCAAATTGGAAAGGATAAAGTAAAACTGTCACTATTTGCAGATGACAATTCCAATTGCATCAAGAAGAATAAAATACCTAGGAATAAAGTCAACCAAGGAGGTAAAAGACCTATATACTGAAAACTATAGGACACTGATGGAAGAAAATGAAGAAGACACAGTAAGTGGGAAGATATCCCATGCTTCTGGTTGGAAGAATTAATATTGTTAAAATGTCCATACTACCCAAAGCAATCTGAAGATTCAATGCAATCCCTATGAAAATTCCAATGGCATTTTTTTTCACAGAAATAGAATAAACAATCCTAAAATTTGTGTGGAACCACAAAAAACCCCAAATAGCCAAAGCAATCTTTAGAAAGAACAAAGCTGGAGGCATCACACTCTCTGATTTCGAACTATATTACAAAGCTACAGTAATCAAAACAGTATGGTATTGGCATAAAACCAGACCTATAGATCAATGGAACAGAATAGAGAGCCTAGAAATAAACCCATGCATACATGGTCAGTTTTTTAAATTCATGACAAAGGAACTAAGAATATACAATAGGGAAAGGACAATCTCTTCAATAAATGGTGTTGGGAAAACTGGGCAACCACAAGTAAAGAATGAAACTAGCTCCCTATCTCATACCATACACAAAAAATAAATTCAAAATGGATTAAAGGCTTGAATATAAGCCCTGAAACCATAAAACTCCTAGAAGAAAACATGGGTAGTAAGCTACTTGACATAAGTCTTGGTGATGAGTTTTTGGATTTGACTCCAAAAATAAAGGCAACAAAAGCAAAAATAAACAGATGGGACTACATAAACCTAAAAATCTTCTGCACAGCACAGGGAACCATCAACAGAATGAAAAGGCAACTTACTGAATAGGAGAAGGTATCTGCAAATCATATATCTGATAAGAGGTTAAGGTCCAAAATATATAAAGAATTCATACAATTCAATAACAACAAAAAATCCAATCAAAAATGGGTTGGGGGATCTGAATAGATATTTTTCCAAAGAAGACATACAAATTGCCAGTAAGGACATGAAAAGGCTCCCAGCATCACTAATCATCAGGGAACTGCAAATCAAAACCACAAAACCACAACCTCATACCTATTAGAGTGGCTGCTATCAAAAAGGAAAGAAATAACAAGGGAATCCTTGCACACTGTTTTTGGGATGTAAGCTGGTATAGCCACTATGGAAAACAGTTCTGGAGGGTCCTCAAAAAAATTAAAATAGAACTACATATGATGGAGCAATTCCACGTCTGGGTATTTATCTGAAGAGAACGAAACCACTAAATTGAAAGCATATGCACACCCATGTTCTTTGAAGCATTATTGCAATATACAAGGTATGGAAACAACCTAAGTGTCCATTGATGGATGAATGGATGAAGAAGATGCAATACACACACACACACACACAGACACTCACACACACTCACACACATACACACTGGCTGGAATACTATTTAGCCATAAAGGATGAAATCTTGCCATTTGTAACGACATGGATGGACCTTGAGGGCCTTATGCTAAATGAAATAAATCAGACAGAGAAAGACAAATACTGTATGATCTCACTTATATGTGGAATCTAAAAAACAAAACAAAAAAACAAATAAAAGCCACCAAGGTCATAGATACAGAGAGCAGATTGGTGGTTGCCAGAGCAGGGTGGGGGGTGGGCGGTGGTTAGGAGGTGGGTGAAATGAGTGAAGGGGGTTAAAAGGTACAGACTTCCAGTTACAAGATAAATAGGTCCTGGGGATGCAATGTACAGCATGGGGACTGTAGTTGATAATACTGTTCTGCATATCTGCAAGTTGCTGAGAGTAAATCTTAAAAGTCCTCATCACGAGAGCAAAAAATACACAACTCTGTATGGAGATGGATGTTAGCTGGACTTATTGTGGTGATCTTTTGGAAATATATACAAACATCCAATCGCTATGTTGTACACGTGAAACTAATGCAATGCTAGATGTCACTTATACCTCAATAAAAGATTTTTAAAAAGAAATTTGTAAACCTGGATGAATTCCTCCTACAGCTCCAGGGAACAGTGCCATCCCCCTGCCCAGTTCTCCTCAGCTTGTGGTCTGATCCAATTGACACTTCAAGTGTCCAGTTATGGAAGTATCTGTATTAGTGAAACTCTAAATGGGGTTCTGCTTAATCCGAAAGGAAAAATCAGGGGTAATGTGTCAATCCACCCTTCTGGGTTTAAACAAAATATCCTAGTGTTTGGAATTCCGTGTCCAGTGCAATGTGCACTTTTGTACATTTTAATTTCGTGCTTTTCTTCATATTTGCTGCTGCTGCACTGTGGATTTACTCAACCCCTCTCTCATATACCCGCCCTCTTTCTCTTTGAGCATGCCAGAAGAACTCACCACAGGACCCTGTAACTTTTGATCCAAACAGAAAGTCAACATAGTATTACTCTGGATGTATTCCTTCAAAGAGGAAAAGTAGCCTGGATTTTGTGGCATCAGAATTCTGTCCTTTGATGAGAGGTAAAGATAAGGTGGTTATATGAATGATACAGAGAAAACAAAAGGACATTTTGATGATGCTCACATTGAACTAAACATGTTCACAAAGAAACATTTTAAAGGTCACAGATGGTGTTTAACTCCCTAAGTCAAAATTTCTTAAAGATGTGGCTTTGGATCATTTCCACTTCACTCTCTGCTGATCACTCAGGACCAAGGCACTTACAGTGGTAACTCCCACAGAAGGCTTTGAAGGAAAGGCCTGAGAGACCGTGTAGCTGAGATGCAGAACTGAACAACAGGGCTTAGAAGACCATGCCGAGGAAGTCGGGGCCTCGGAGCTCAGATGTGTAGCTATAATTTGCCAAATGTCATGTTCTATAATATTTTTCTGGTCCTGGCAGAATTCATGAAAGTGCCCAGGTCATTAGGGTGGAGAAGACTTTAAAAAGTTAGTAAATATGTCATGTGGTGGTCAGGCAGTGACAGTGTCATAAAAATAAGAGAATTGGGAAGGATCGTTCAGTTAAGTGTTTGATAGTTTGAGATCACATTCGCAATTTCTGCCTTCTCCACACGCTCCTTTTACCTACCTTACTGATGTTATTTACTTAATAATCTGCTAGATTGGCTTACTAGAGAGGAAACCTCACATTATTTAGTAAATCAAAATCCATCTGCCATGAATAGAAGATAATCACAAAAATGGATGCATGGGAAAAACGTTTATTAAATTTTAGCTAAAGGTTCTTGCTGGAGACCTCCCCTGAGATCTGTTCTCTCTTTGTTAAAAGGGGAGGTTAGCAAGTGTTAGAGAGGTGTTAAGGACAGACTAGCACCAAACTGCATCTCTCTCTTTGCCTTACTTGAGAGGAGATATAATTTGAAAGAAAATTATAAAAGAAATAGCTTTCTCCTCCAATGTTCATAGCAGCACTATTTACAATAGCCACGACAAGGAAACAACCTTAATGTCCACTGATGATGACTAGATAAAGAAGCTGTGGTATATTTATACAATGGAATACTACTCAGCCATAAAAAAAGAATGACATAATGCCATTTGCAGCAAGATGGACGAACTTAGAGGGCATTATTCTAAGTGAAATAAGTCAGACAGAAAAAGACAAATGCTGTATGAATATCACTTATATGTGGAATCTAAAAAATAATATAAATTAATCTATATACAAAACAAAAAGAGACTCACAGACATAGAAAACAAATTTATGGTTACCAAAAGGTGGGGAGGGATAAGTTAGGAGTCTGGGATTAGTAGATACTAACTACTATATAGAAAATAGATAAACAATAAGGTCCTATGGTATAGCACAGGGAACTATATTCAAAATCTTGTAATAATCTATAATGGAAAAGGATCTGAGAAAGAATATATATGTATATGTATAACTGAATCACTCTGCTGTATCCCTGAAACTAACAGAACATTGTAAATCAACTATACTTCAATCAGAAAAATAAAAAGCTTTCTCACTATGTGTTTCAGTGTTACTTAAAACTGCCACTAACATGTCAGCCCCAAAATTACCTTATTGCTCCCTCCAGGAATAGAATTTCCACTTATTTAGTTCCATTTCTTTATTTTGAAGGACACTGAAGCCCAGAGATGCTAGGGGGTTTACTCAAGGTCACACAGGGAGTCCTTAGAAAAGTTCATGTTTTCTTTCTTTAAGAATAATTCTACGGAAGGGCCGAGGGCCCTGGTTTCTCACTGGCTGTTGGCTGAAGACTGCTTTCAACTTTGAGAGGTCACAAGCAGCTCCCTGTCACGTGAGCTTTCCTGACATCAGGCCAGCAAGGAGGGTCCCTGGAGCAAGTCTGCTTCCAAGAGGGAACCGTGTATAATGTAACGTCACGTAATCACATGGGGTGACCCTGAATTCCCCACATTCTACTGAAGCAAGTCATTGATTCTCAAACACTCAACGGGGGGAGTTGGTACACGGGTGTGAACATCAGAAGGGAGGGGGGACGGGAGGGCCAGGCTGGAGCCTTTCCACCACAGTGTGCAAGACGGTTCCTTATTCTATTCTATCTACTTTTGTTTCTGTCTGAGGTTTTCCATAATAAAAAGAATTATTTCCTTTTTAAAAAGTCTGCCATAGCTAAATTTTCTGTAGCAAATACATTTCTAGAACGGCTTTAAAACAGAGGAATTCTACTGAGTTAATCAAGAAGCGCACCGTTAGAAAAGATTCTCCTTGTACTTGTGACTGATATTTTTCCTTGTCTAAGTCAATCATTCATGCAATGAACAGTTCTCGAAGGCTGCTGAACACTGGCCCGAGTGCTACGTGCACAACGGGACACATCTCTGTCCCCGGAAACTAACCAGTCCCGAGGGAGAGGTGGGCGAGTTAAGCAGACAGCCATGGTGCAGGATGCCTAGTGCTGAGCACAGCTAGACTCAGGGTTCTCTGAAAACGCAGGGGATGAGTCTGAAACCACCTCTGTGTCAAGACTGGCTTTCCTTACAGAGTTTGATGTATGCTGCATTCCCTGTTTGCTGTGAGCTGATCTCTGAAGAAAAGGTGTCATCATTATGACCCATTCTTCCCCAGTGGGCATCGGAGGCTGTGATCATGAGCTCCGGCAGGGGAAGATGCCTGCAGGTTCTTTACCCTCCCCCCCCACCTAGAGGTGGACTCTGAGACCTGGGCTGGTGCTGGGACTTGTTGGGACCAAGAGAATGTGGCAGAAAGTGATGCTAGGTGACTTAAAACTGGGCCTTAAGGCATCTGCAACTTCTGCGTTTGTGTGCGTGGGACCCTCCTTCCCAGGGCAGAAGTCCAGCTACCCGGCCAGAGGAGAGGCTGCCTGGGGAAAGGCCTGGCACTGCTTTGACATCTCAGCCCCAAGCCCAGCCACTTGGACGTTCTAAGCCCCTAAGGTTTGGGGAGCAGTGCTGTAAAGCTGTAACCAACTGGAACTTCAGTGGAGGCTGAGCCGTGAACAAATCCTAGCTCTCACTCACGGCTTCCTCGCCCAGAGCTTCCCCAGAATGGTGGTGGCCGGGGTTGGGGGCGCAGGTACAGCTCAGTGGTGGAGCGCATGCTTAGCATGCATGAGGTCCTGGGTTCAATCCCCAGTACCTCCTTTAAAAATAAATAAATAAATCAACCCAATTACTGCCCCCCTCAAAAAATTAATAAAGGAAAAAAAGAAAACTAGACAAAAAAAAATCATTTCAAAAAAAAAAAAGGAAACCAAGGAAGGATTCTAAAAAAGAATGGTGGGGTCACTCCTACCCGTATCCTGTGCACACAAAACCGGAAGGGGGCAGGGTTGGCCACTGCCCCAACGCAGGCCGGGCAGTGGCTGTGGAAGGTGGACCGTTTCATGGGGACTATGGGGACTTCAACGTGGCCCTTCTGGTTCCTTCCCACCACACTGGGAGACTGCAAGAGCAACACACACCTGACAGCCTCCTTCAGGTCCCCGTCCCCTGGCAGACCCCCACTCGCTTGCTGGGGGAACATGAGATATGATTCTGAAGGTGAAGGGGGATGGAAACTCACCAAGTGACTCGAGTCAGCACCAGGCAAGCCAGAGCTCGTCCGATGCCTGGGACTGAGTCTGGGCACACTCACCTGAAGACATCAGCAGCACGGCCTGAAGGAGGGCGACTTCCGTGTCATCCAGGTTGAAAGAAGACAGCGACATGCCCAGGTCGAAGATGGCGTCGGACACCACCCCAAGACCCCCGTTTTTCAGCTGGCCCCGTGTCACAGCCATCTCCCCATTCAAGGTTAGAGTCTCACTCTCTGGGTCGTAGCGCACAGCAGCGCGAAGGGACATGATCTCCATGCAGCAGCCTTTGAGGAGGATGATCTGGTCTTCACATGGCAGCTGAAAAGAAGCGGCACATCAGTAAAGAGCAAGTGGGCAGACAGACAACAGTGGGGAAGAGCACGCGGATCTTAGCAGCGACAGTAAGTGGTTCACCCCCGGTGATCAGCACCAGTCCTGCGCTCCGTGAGCCACGGCCTTTCCCTTCCTACTTGGCTGCAGACTTTCAACAACCATTCTTCATTCTCCAAGTTGGTCGGAATCTTCACCGACGTCTATAACCGTCACGTGTGAGACGGTGCTAATAATCCCTAACTCTGGGGGTTTCCATTCTAACACCCACTGAGACCTTCTTGCACTGAGCACCGTTTTTGTCTTGTAGCTCTAGGAGGCACAGCGGACTCGGCTGTTTAGCTGGCAACTCTGCTGCTCTGTTTTCTGCAGCAAGCTGGCGCCTTGAGTCTCCTAAAAGGCACAGATGGGGTGTCCCCACCGGCACTGGTGATCCAGTCAATGGGATGATATACAAGAAAATACTTTGAAAACAAACACTGCACAGATCTGTGAAATCATTTTCCCTATGGGGGAGGCTCTGAACAGAGGACCATGGTGTCCCTCAACCAGAGGGGTGCTACAGGAGCCATCGTGAGAGTTACCTGACCAGTCCTGGGTGGGGCTGGGTCAAGCTCTTGTGCTTACAAGGCCCAGGAATGCACTGCCTGCAAGCTCCTCCCTGGGGGAATGGTGGGGTTGGGGGAAGGGGACACTAATATTTCCCATGTGTATGTTTCTTGGAGATGTGGGGAGGGGTCCACTGCCTCAGTGGAATCCTAAAAGCATCCTACCCTGAAAAAAAAAAAAGACACAGAACCAGAAGGTTGCTTACAGATGCATGTGTCCCAGGGGGCCCAGAGATGTCACAGCTTTGCTCGAGGTCCCCCAAGGAGTTAAAGGCAGAGGTGAGACCAGAATTCAGGCCTCCTGGCTCCTAGAGTTATGTCCAGAATGACTCTACCCACTGGATCTTTCTGCCAGTGTTGTAATCTCAGTTTGAACTCATTTGATTGCCCTGTTAATTAGGATTTGTGATAATGAGATAACATTAATGATAAACTTAAAAAAAGCTTTGTGAAGAGAAATTAAAAAAAACCCCAGAGTTTGATTTTCTGGAGGAGGGAGAATGTTTAATTAAATGCCCTTATCAAAACAGTTTGAAAGGCTACTAGTTAACGGATGTTTCTGATGAACTGGGCATCGTGCTAAGATTTACAGGCATCATCTTATTTAATCTTGACAGTAATGCAATGAGGTCAACATCCCGATTCCAAATGTACTGACAGGTGTGGAAATCCAGGCACTGCGAGGCTGAGCGGCAGGCTAGGGGGTCCCATGCGTGCACGTGGGTGAGGCGAGGGTTGGAAGCTAGGTGTGCAGAATCCATGGCCAAGAGAATAGGGGGGATTGCTCTTTGAAGGACTTTGGGTGTAAGTTCCCGTAAACAATGAGTATGTAATGACACATCATTTCTCTCTCTTCATTAAAGCAGGTACAAATTCTTTTCTGGGAAATATTCTCGACAACACTCGACTAGTTCCATTTAGGTTACTATGTCAGCCTGAAAGTAAGACTACTGAATGACCTTTAGAATATGGGCTATTGGATAGGGAGGATATAGCTGGTATAGCGTAGTGGTAGACAGGATGCCTAGCATGCATGAGGTCCTGAGTCCAAGTCCCAGTGCCTCCATTAAATAAATAAATAAATAAATAAATAAATAAATAAATAAATAAACCCACCCCCCACATCAAAATAAGTTAAAAAATTAAAATATGGACTATTTCATGTTTTTTACTAAAATAAACCTAATTATCTTTCCCCCCCAAAAGTTAATAAAACAATTAAAATATGAGCTATTTCATATTTTTTACTAATTCAACCTACCCACCTTACTGTTTAATTTCAAATTGCTTAGCTTTCTCTATAGAATAGAAGTCATTTCGTATTTAGTTCTGGAATCCATTCCTGTAAATTCTCTCCTACTCATTAAAAAAAAAATGACTATTTGCTTTTCTTTAGGTTTGAATTTGTACTCCTCAATTACATCCTTGGGTTCCTGGCCCCGGGGTCTGGTAGGAGATAGGAGAGCAGCGCTTGGCTGGGTCGTCTCCAGGCAGAATGGGGACTTGGCTGAAGTGGGCAGAGGCGGGCGTTACTGCCTGGGTGGTGGTCCTGTCTGCAGCCCAAAAGCCCCACCAAGGGCTTGCTTAGCACATGTTGCCGGCCCCGCCCTCTGAGTCTCTGCATTCTCCAAGTTCCTGGGTGATGCCCACGTACCTGGTTCAGGGACCTCACTCTTGAGAACCACTGTCATCAAACCGCAAAGAGTAATTACTAATCAGATAAAACCACTGATTTATTCTTTTAGCCATCACAAATGATGCAAACTTGGGCAGGCCCCTTCTTTGTAGCCAAGTCTGATTATAGATGAAGTGGAAGTTTTCCTTTGAAAATTTATTAACTCTTGATTAGTTCAAATTTAAATAAAAGCGGAAAAAGGATTAGTCAAGGATGGTAAATGGTTTGAAAACCAGGCCAGATGCCTTTTCTTTTAAGAGGGGTTTGTAGGATCCTGGTGAGATTTGTTTCGCACTTGTGGGCAAATAATGTTTTAGCCACCTGCCGACATCGTGGTTATGCTCCAAGAAGGACCTGCTTGGTGGAGATGCAGGGGGGCCTCCCACAGGCTCTGCCTGCCTCCTGGGAGCATGTCTCTCAGCTTGATTGGCAGGGATGACAGTGCCCTGAACTCTAGACATCACCTTATGTGTGTTTTTGGTGGCTTTGCCAGTAATGATTTTAGATCTTTTGAAGCCCTTGGTTGGTAGGTTGGTGTGGATCTGAGCAGAAAATTACTGGGAGTGCAATTTGAACAGCAGGTGCATCAAACTGCCTCTGGAAAGAGACTTCTGGTTCCTGAGACCACCTGGGATCTCCAGCCCACACCACAGTTCATCTTCCTCTTTGGGGTTCCAAAGACAGTGTCAAAAGGCTGAACGTCCTCAGGAGGCCACAGACATCAGAAATATATGCATCTCTGCTGTCAAAGTAGCCATCCCCTCCCCCACCCCTGCCAATTTGGAGATAACAGAATATCAGGGCTGAAAGACAGACGGAATCATGACTTTGAAGCAGGCTTAAATCCCTGAGGGAAACGTGAAGGGAGGCGCTTGCCACAACCCAAGCCTGAGAAGCCCACGCGGAGCCCTTGCCCTTGTCAGGGACACGGCTGCCCCGGGTGTTTGTTGCTGGTGGGGGTGATGGCTTCTTTTCCTTCTTTAACCGACCTATCTCTCCGTGGCTGCTTTCCATGAGCTTTACATTTTCCAGAAAACATTTTTGATGGGTATTCAAAGGGGAACACGTGGCTTGATACGCTAGCTGAGTTGTCGGCGTAGCAAACTCAGTGGAGTTTCTTTTCAGACACTAGGGACTGAGAGATGAGGACGCAGCCCAGGGAGAGAGGACCAAGAACGGTCCAGAAAAACAACCTCAACCCAATGCACAGAAACGCAAGATGACACCCGGGGTGGGAGGAAACTGGTGTCCTCAGCACAGACGAGCTGTGCACACCTTCTAGGGGGCCCCAAATTTGGCAGCACGTATCAAAAGCCTTAAAAGGTGTATACTCCTCGGTCCTTCAATTCTACTTCTAGGATCTGCCCTAAGAAATAGTTTTGTAAACAGGGCCTAGGTACCAGGATGCTCACTGCAGAATATTTATATTAGTGAAAAACTGGAAATGAGCCAAAGATCCTGTAAAAGCAGGTAACGTAGGTGACAGGGCAGCGATCCTTTGGAATCTATGTGGTCATTACACATTGTTTTGTGAGCAAATACTTAAATGATATGTTCTACAGTTGAGGGTAGAAAGTTCGGGGCTGCAGTCTGCAAGGAGCACTCTTTCTTTAGCTTGGCGCTGATTAGGTGGGTGTGTTGTCTGCGCCCTTATGATATGCGCTCCTTACTCTTTAATAAAAAATTTTTACAGAGTAGTTTCACAAGTAGAAAATTCATTATGGCACAAACCATGTGACGTATTTCATATACGTGTGTGCATATATGTGTGTATACACATGCATGTATCTGAAAAGAGAAAACCGACTCTGAAACGTGAGCATTTTATCTCTTGGTGGTGCTATCGTGAATCATTACCTTTATGGTGCTGGATCAACCTCCAATGAATATGTATTATTTCTGTAATATCCTCCAAAACTTTAATAAATGTTAATTTAAAAAGCGACAGTCAAAGGCATGGGAAAGTCTACACCAAACACAGATACAAGTCCAAATTCCTTCTCTAGGACTCACCAGCCCCTCTAGGGTGGGATGTGAGCGGTCCCCACGGCAGGGATGCTGGCCGGCACACGTGGTACCGGGCCTCCTGCATAGTGAAGCCGGAGGTAAGGAGGAGGCACGCAGTCTCTCTCAGAGAGGTCTGGGGGTCAGCTACCCACAGCCTGAAGCCCTCTGCTCTGTCCCTCCAGGTATGGCTTCTGTGGAGGCTCAGGAATGGCCATGAGAAGGGTCCCCATTGGGGTCTGGGGTATCTCAGTATCCAGCTGGGCTCCCATTACTGCAAATTCAGACACATGTGAACTGGAGGCCGAGGTAGGATGGGATCATTCCAGGTGAGGACACCTAGCTTCTTTCTGGGTGAGACTAGATTCCCTCATCATGCAGGCAGCCTAC